TTCGCCCGATTTCGCACGCCGATTTATACATGTAAAGTCTATGACGCGAATTTGCACTTTTTGAGCACGCGCCACGCGCTCCCTATCAATCCGATCGAGCTGAGACCCCTCAAAGGCACGTCGCACATCCTTGATCTATAAGTTGTGCAAATTTCAGGGCGCTAGGTGCAACGGTCTGGCCTGTAGTCCACGCAAAGCAGCACCAAGTCGGGACCTCGGTAACGGACAGACGCACCCTCCTCAAATAGTAATATAGATGTTGTTTGCTTCACTCTGCCATTCGCGCTGTTTTTAACTTTAAATTATGCTAAAACATTTACGGATGAAATGTTCAGTGTCAAAAATTGATGTGTCTGCCGTGTACTATATTCCCACTTAACATGAGCGCGTGATAAACATTTTATGTACCTCGAATTTTCAAATGATAAAGATGATGAATCGGAGGATGCTGAAAAGCAAAAGCTCATTCCAATATTTGGACTACTTTACGATTAAAATGTTTACATTCCTGTCGTCTTATTGATCATTTATTTGTTCTTTTTTATGAAAATAACTTGAGGCGTTGAGAACCGAGGTAATTTCTATCTACCGTGCCTTAACTTACCAGCAACAGCAATCTATCTACGCCCTACGGTGGCAAGGGAGACTGTGAAAGAAGCGTAAGATGGATTCTAAACAATTCTTTTGTGATATACTGAAGGGCAAAGTGCAGAGAAGAGCGTACAAGTCCTGGGGCCGTATTCACGTCGATCATTTTCGTAAGAATTTTCTTAAGTTTGACCTACTTCTTAAGTAAATTTTTTTATTCACGTGAACTCCGTCGATAAAAACTTACGAAGTGTCGACGTGAATACCAAATTATACTTACGAAAGAAAATCGACTTACGAAGTCGACGTGAATACGGCCCCTGTTTTGTGCCAGGCTGTTGCAGTAGCACTTATGAAACTCCGAAAACGATCTTCGTTCATGTCCCGAACAACATTACCCTGAGGAGATGATCGTCTGCAATAGCAGGAAGAGCTGATGCAAGTACTTTGAAATCCACTATCAAGTCGGTGCTATTGTTGTAATGATCACTGTGAGGTGAGATATTTTGTGCAAGGGCTGAGTGTAATGCCCAGGAAATGACCTCCATTCGCCCCCTGACCGGTCAGGGTTATAAAATTTGAGTGGATGGCGGTCCGTTTGGGGTTCAGATGTCAATTGTATTTTGTTACTGTCAAACAATACATGTTATGCTGGCAGCGAATGTGTGTAACGTCGTTTTTCGAAGCAGAAGTTAGAACTGTAACGGCCGAGTGCTTGCTGGTCTCATCGTAAGTATTGTAAGTGTTGCAAGCAAAAGCATTGTCAATATTGTAAGTATTGTGAGCATTGATGTATGGTAGATATCACCTCACATGATCTCGGCTCAGATAACCCTCTCCGGTGTCCCTGTCAGTAAATGGCACCTGGATCATTACAGATAAGATAATTTGTCATAATTCTTAAAGAATTGGGTGGTTTTGACTCGTTTACTCGAGGTGCAGGTCGCATTTCAATACTTTTCCATAGGCTTGCAATGTAAAGGTCACCACTCTGACCTAACCTCAGGTCACAGATAAAAAATTCTGAGATATACAAACGACACATACTGCAGGTACTGTTTTGAAGACTTGATGAGAGGAAATAACTTCGTGAAAAACTCAAGCTCTGACGTGTTTGCAAACTTTTCTGAGGTGGGGTCAACAAACCCGCTCTGGTTACCTGACCTGACCTGACCCGGCATTTTTTTTTTTTTTTTGCTGAGATGTGTGCAATGAGCATTTAGGAAAAGTCACCAAATATGAGCTGAATGTCTCGCGGCGTTTGGCAATTGTACAAGAAAATCCTGAAAGGTCTCCCCGTCCGAAATAGGGTTAATGTGTATATGAAGAGTTGCAGATGCCAAACATACCCAGATCTAAGACTGCAGTTCCCAGCGCCGCTGCAACGTTTTTAAAACAAACATACATAGGACATACAAACATGTACATAGGATACATAGGATACATAGGATGACAGGCGAATAACCGCTCACGCAAGGAGCGGAGCTCCGCCCCGTCCAAAGTGGCCAACAAAGCAGAGACAGAGGCAGCATCACATCTTCCATCAAAAAACTGGTTTCTGGCTTGGAAGATGAGCTCCATCTTTGCATCCGAGTCGGTGCTGTCAGGAATCAGCTGGTCTAATGGAGTGAGAGTAGTGAGACGACTAGCTATTGTATCAGAGCTGCCTGGTCTTCGTAGCATTTGCACCGATTCTTCTCGATCGGACTCTGAATTCTGTCCCTCCTGCGTATTACTTGAGGCATTGCTATGTAGCTAAGTCTTTGGCAGAGTTTCATTACCCATGCTTTGCAAACAGTGACATAACAACACAGTTAATTAATCACCAAGCTTCTTTGCAAGTTCCAATACAGTTGAATCGCACGCGATTTGAGTGCAAAAATCAAGAGAAGTGCCAACTTGTTCCCGTAAAATATTTTGAATATTGACCTAAAAAAATGAGTAATTTCCAGATAAAATAACAGCGAAATCAGTTTTCGCTTGCCAATAAAACTCACAGATATTGAAGCTCCATTATTAAAGGAACATTTTAGTATATGCCATTCTTTATAAAACTTCTTAGCCACGCAATACCAGCGCAAAATAAAGAGACACTGAAAACACGACCAATCACTCCGATTTACCATAGGAAAATACATAGAAAATGTATGTCTCAACTGCGCCAAATATACAGACAGTTATATACCTACATGTGACGTCATGATTAGCCCGACCAATCAGAAGCAAGTTGTTTTCAGCCACAAATAATTAATTTCTGAACTAACTAGGCATTTTTTTTAACAAAGTGATTTTAAATTAAATCATTAAAAATTCTGAGCTTTTTTATTTTACCAAAACATACAGAGCATGCAGATAGGTCCCAACCCTATTGTATGTAGACTGTGCCGGGGCGGGACGGTGCCGTCTTTACATCGCGCTCCTTCCCGCTGATTATACTCGATTCGCGTCAAATTTTGTGAGAAGACTAAGAAATGTACAGGCAATTTTATAGTCAAAGAAAATTGAAAATCGGCCGGTAACAACTTGAGTTATGACTTATGAGTGCGTAAACACAAAACTATAATTGCCGCGTTACCCGCGTCGGCCGATCCCGCTTCAGCCGGCGACATCTTACGCTTAGCAGGCTTCTAGTTATAACTGCCATATTTATTGTTGGATGAACTAGAAATTCACCATACATACTCACAAATGTATGGTCTTTGGTATAGTGAAAGAAAAAAGAAAATCGGCCGGTAACTTTTTGAGTTATCACCGTGTAAACGCAAAAAAGTCAGTCATATGGCAGATTTGACCACATTTGACCTCATTTGACCTTGAAGATATTGACCTAGGGTCATGAAATTCACACACAACAGAGTTCCCCAGGACCCCCACCTACCCTCCAAATTTCGTCTTTCTAGCTCCAGTGGGAGCTGAGATCTTAAGGGGGGGCGCCATCCGCCCCCCTTCCACTGGGCGTAGTACTCGCAACCCTTCCACTGCGCGTGTTAACCCTCGCCCGTATTGGTGTTTTTCCAGCCGCGAACGTATAAGAGGGGGGGGGGTCCGTTGGACCCCCCTGTCGTTTCGCCCCTGATCGAGCAGGAGCTTCGCGGAAAAACGAGCGTGTTTTCCGTGACGAGAGGAAGCCGATGCTTCCCAACTTTAACCCTCGCCGGCTGAGGCCCCCCCCCCCTCTTATAGGGGTGCCGCCCCCCATAGGGTTTTTTTTCGCGATAGCTCCGAACACGCTGGCGATAGAGAGCTGAAACTTAATATACCATCTATGACTCAAGCCGGATCTTTTGACACCAACCGCATTTTCGGGTCAGGTCAGGTTAGGTCACTGACCTATGACGTCATAAGTGAACCTCTGTACGGTCTTCAGATCAGATGTCGCAACTTCGCAACGCCCTCACTGCCAAGTGCCAGAGGAACTTTCACAGGGAAATGAAACTTGCAGGACGAGTCTCACAACTTGTATACCTATCTCGGATTTTTCCTGAAGGTCATATGAGGTTAGGTCATTTTCGTGACCTCACCATTAGAAGTCAATGGGGTAAAATAAAAACTGCTATTCTGGCGCCGGGAACGATCTCAAACTATCTCAAGCATACAGAAACGTGATTTTATGCAGTCTTTGCAAGGTTAGATGCGTCACTTTTGCATTGTTGACCTTGCGTGACGTCATTTATGACATCATTAGGGTCATATTAGTTCCTCGTCAATAATTCCGATCAAATTGAGCTAGCGAGTCGGGAAAGCCACCAATGGCTCAGGAAGACCTGCCGAATCGAATGATATGCGACATGACCTCCTTTGACCAAGTTCGTGACCTGGGGGCGCCGACCTGACCGTGACCTGAGGTCAACCCCCTAAGTAGACCTGACCCAAACAAAAAGTATATCATTCGACGCGCCGGAGCAAGGCGAACACGATGCTGCCAAAATCGCGGCACTACGGCCATTTTTTGCGAAGTTATTCACCAAAAACTGAATCGTACCTTGGGGCACTTGACCTGACCTCAGAGGTCACCGGTTGACCTAGGACCTTAAAATCTGGTACCAATCTCTGCGTCTCGTAACGGCGCACACGCTCGTTTTTTCCGCGACGCGCTACTCCATAGCGAAACGGCGGGGGGGGGGGTCGTACCCCCCCCCCCCGGCCGGCGCGTATGTAGAAAACCAATAGGCCCGGCGCGGGATGGTCACTTTAACTGTTAGGGCGTTTGTTCCAATCGGCTTTTATGAACTGTCGAGGTGTTTGGTGTAACCGTCACTACTGGGACTGGTTCCAGTTGGTGCTCAACATAATAGCATTAGGTATGCATTTCGACCATGGTGTGAATTTATGTTCAGCGAAGCACTATTTAGGTACGTTACGGTCTTTATGCATGAGAGCCGAGCACCGCACGCTCAGAGCAAAATACCAAAGTTGGTGTTGCTTATATATTACATACAATTACAATAAGACACACACACACACACACACTCGAGCATGCTCCATGCAAATTCAAACGTAGGACAAATATTTACGAATTCCAGCTGGTTCATTCTGCCACACATTCATTGATTTAACATCATTTATACGCCAGACCTTTTAAACAATAAAATTAGTAGCCATAGCGTCCATAGCCACGGCTGCCAAGCAGACCAAAGTTGCGGAAGCCAAATCTACGGCCATAGCCTCCATACTGGTTTCCGTAGCCCAGGTTTCCGAGGCCGTACTGGTTTCCGTAGCCGAGACCGAGCCCACGGGCGCCGAGCAGACCGAAGCTGTTGAGTCCAAACTGGTTTCCGTAGCCGTACTGGTTTCCGTAGCCCAGGTTTCCGAGGCCGTACTGGTTTCCGTATCGGTACTGACTTCCGTAGCCCAGGTTTCCGAGGCCGTACTGGTTTCCGTATCGGTACTGACTTCCGTAGCCCAGGTTTCCGAGGCCGTACTGGTTTCCGTAGCCCAGATTTCCGAGGCCGTACTGGTTTCCGTATCCCAGGTTACCGAGGCCGTACTGGTTTCCGTAGCCGAAGTTGTTGAAGAGGCCGCCGCCGATCGCTCCTCCGTTGAACAGGCCAACTCCGGAGCCGCCGAGGAGGCTAGCGGCGGAGGCAGCCACCAGGCAGGAGAGGATCACCAGCTGTGGATGCACAAAGGTCAGTGTCAGCATCTCTCTCTCCCTCCCTCTCCCTCTCCCTCTCCCTCTCCCTCTCCCTCTCCCTCTCTCTCTCTCTCTCTCTCTCTCTCTCTCTCTCTCTCTCTCTCTCTCTCTCTCTCTCTCTCTCTCTCTCTTTCTCCAGTGGGACCGACTTGAGCGTGAACGGTAAACGTCGCCCATAGCTGCACTCCTGGTCCCCTTAGTGAGAAGCGGCGGGCGTCTACCTAATTCAGATAAACTTCTGTTATACCATATCGACGGTATATTTGCGTCATATGTCACATTTTGAAGCTTTGAGTCATGTTCCAGACTTCTAACAGATGTTGACCTACATACTTGCATTTGGATTCATAGGCATCCAGCAACTAAGAAGCGCCAAATACACCATCACTTCTTATTTCCTCAATTACGTTAGAATCTGCCCCGCGTGGTGCGGTTTCACCTTTAGTTCAACAATTTATAAATCTTTAAAGGATCGCCTGTTATTTTTGTACGTTCTTCCACTTCGTCTGATCACCTACTACGTTTTTCGCACATCGTATGCTATTTTCTTGAAGGCATGCATCGACTGGTGTAACAAGTTACATGCATACATGTAAAATGACATTAAAAAGCCTGATTAAAACGACCCCACGAATTCTGACAAATCTTCATCCCTCAAACACACGCCATTGTTCACTCCAGCAGAGTGTAACTATTACAAAAGATCAACGTTTTGAGTCAATGCTCGGATACCTGGGCATGCTGCTGGCTGCGGGAAAATTTACGGTAATGTGACTTACCTTCATGGCGCCTGGCGGTTTCTGAGCTGCGTCCTGAAGGAGCCGAGTTGAGTGTGTGACTGCTATGCCGCCAGATTTCCCTTATATACCTACTGAACTGGCTGAGAGACACGATTGCTGTGCGTTGGCCGCTGGTCACGCCTTCAGCCCCGCCCCACGAAATTCCGGTGCAATGTCGACGGAGCGGGTCCGGGTCGGGAAGTCTGACAAGTACAAGGTCAGCCAGAGGTGCTGTTGGAGAACGGGGGAGGGGGGCGAAAATACCGGGTGTCCCAGAAAAAAGTACCAAATTTAAATTAGAAGTACAAAGAAAAATATGCGCGTGACATGTAAAATTTTAACATCAATCGAAAGCGTGATTCATGGAAATTATGTTGTATGGGTCGAGCGCTCTGTCAGTCATGAAGCCGTTTAATACTGAACAAAAAACCAAAATAGTCGAATTTTATCTCAAACACGGATCAGCCGTTTTAACGCAAAGGCAGTATCGCAGACATTTTAAGGTCCGAGAAGCTCCAACGATATAGACCATACAGCGTCTGACTGAGAAGTTTCTGGCAGAAGGGTCCATTAGTAACCAGAATGCCGGAAACAGTGGTCGGAAAAAAACATCTCGCAGCCAGGAGGCCATACGAAAGGTCGCAGAGCAGGTTGGTCAAACGCCGAAAGTGTCGGTGCGGCGCCTCGCGTCTAGGGTCGGTCTCAGCAAGTCCTCCACTCACAGGATTCTCAAGAAGGATCTCGCCTTATCTGCCTTTAAGCTTAAAGTGTCTCAAAAGCTGTTTGCTGCGGATTTTGAGCAGAGGGAACAATTTTGCAAATGGTTTTTGGAAAAGTGCACAAACAACCCAAACTTCTTGTCTTGTGTTTGGTGGTCTGATGAGGCCCATTTTCATCTGAACGGGCAAGTGAACCGCGCGTTGAGCGCGCAGGGAATCATCGGCCTGGATTCTTTTTTGAAAATGGTGCTGGCGAGACGGTCACTGTCAATTCCCGGCGCTACCTTACCATGCTTAAAAGCTTTTTGCGGGCACTCACAGCGAGTTGTGCGGACACCCTGAACCAGCAATGGCTGCAGCAAGATGGCGCAACGGCGCATACATCACGCGCCAACTTGGCCTGGCTGCACGAGTGTCTAGAGGGGCGTGTCATCTCCCGGCGGGCCGCGGTGACCTGGCCGCCGCACTCTCCTGACCTCACGCCCCTCGACTTTTACCTGTGGGGCTATCTGAAAAGTGTGGTGTATCAGGAGGCACCAGAAGACCTAGCGACACTGAAACGGGCGATTCGCGCGGCCATTCGCGCGATTCCACCTTCCGCATGTGCTCGGGTCGCAGAGGAAGCCAGGTGCAGGGCGGAGCGGTGCCTGGCCCAAGAAGGCAGGCACTTCGAACATGTGCCGGTGTGAGTGACAGGAAGGAGTGGCATGGTCCATTTGTAGCGCAAATAAATCTCCATGGAACTGGCTCGCTTTTGATATGCGTTTAAAGCATTAGTGCCGAATAACAAAAAATATATTGTCTAAACAGCGTAATTCTTTTTTCCACCCAAAGGAAGGCGCTATACGGAGAATATCCCATTGCGTCATTTAAAAGTGACTTACACCTCTCACCGGTTTGCTGGCTGCGTGGTGTAGTGGTGAGCACACTCGCCTCGTGATCTAATAACTAGGGTTCGATCCCCGCAGCCGGTAGAACTTTTTGGCGCGTTGTAGGTTAGGTTGTAGGTTTGTAGGTTGTAGGTTTGTAGGTTGTAGGTTTGTAGGTTGTAGGTCTGTAGGTTAGGTTGTAGGTTAGGTTGTAGGTTGTAGGTTTGTAGGTTGTAGGTTAGGTCAGGTGAGGTTAGGTTATGTTTGTTTTTGTTTGGTTTGTTTACCAAGAAGCATCTTCGGGTATAGCGCCTTCCTTTGGTTGGAAAAAAGAAACACGCGTCTAAACAAATGTGGTACTTTTTTTCTGGGACACCCTGTGTATTCATTTCTTACCTTTGTACCAGGGATGCGGAGCCGGAGCCGGAGCCGGAGCCGGAGCCGCCGGAGCCGGCATATTTTGCCCGGAGCCGGAGCCGGAGCCGGAGCCGTGAAACAATATAGCCCGGAGCCGGAGCCGGAGCCGGAGCCGTCAAAAAAGGGGGCGACTCCGGCTCCTTTTCTTTACCCGCGCCCTGCTGGGGGGGGGGGGGGTGTTTGAACACCCCCCTTGTGGTTTTTCGCGAATATCTCAAAAAACGGCGGCGCATCATGCATCAATTCTACACATGTTGTGAAAATTTCAGACCAAGGTCATTCAAGGTCAGGTCACCAGGTCACTTGAAGTGACCTCACCTCATAAAAACTTTCAATGTCTGTCATAGCTACACCGAGTGACCGATCGCTTTGAAACTTTCAGCGATTGCTAAGGCCAATAGCATGTACAAAATGTATATCTCCGAATTTTGATATCGATGACCTAAGGTCAGGTCAATTTTGCGACCTCGCCATTATAAGTCAATGGGAGAAAATTGAAATGCGCCTCTTTTGGATGCAAGACATTATAAACACTCCCAAACACCGAATTACAAGTGTTTTAGACACACTGAACATGAAAATGGTGTCCGTGACCCTTGTTTATGCCCTGAGGTCATCTTAGGTCACGAATGGTATCTAACAGTTTTTCGCAAATAACTTTTGATAGAGGCATGCTAGAGCGATGAAAACGCCTTAGATGTGTTCAGCTCGACGATACGGATCGACTGATATGCAACATGACCCTTTCCGGTCAGGTCATGACCTTGACCTGAGGTCACATTTTCAAGTTGACCTTTCAAGGTCAAGTTATAGTTCATTCGATGTGTCTTGACGAGAGGAACACGATGCCGGTAAAAGTAAGCTCGTTCAAGGCTTGGATCAAAAGTTATTGCAGAAAAACTGTTTTCGAAAAAATCGGCTATTTTTGCAGTTTTTGCCCCCTGCAGGCAAAACCGTTGACGTTAGGTCAAATCTGAGAGAATTACTTAGAAAGGGCGTTAATAGGGCTATCGAATGCGCTTTTCCGCGGCGCTGTAGCTCTATTGGTTCCCGAGTTATGCGTTGGCTTCTTGGAAATTTTCGACATTCGACCTGGAAATCGGCGAAATTTTGCCTTCAATGACCTCTGGTGACCTGACCTTTGACCTGACCACAAAATTGACCGAAGTGATTTCGTCATTATTTTTGACGCCCTTTCGAACGCCGCCTTCCGCGTATCGCTACGTGGCCCAGGAGCCGAGTTACAAGGGGGGGGGGGTGTTCAAACACCCCCCCCCCCCCCAGCAGGGCGTGGAAATCCAGGACCCCCAGCCGGGCGCGGGTTAAGAGGAAACATATATGTATAACAGTAGAACAGGAAACAATTATTTACCTAATTCGGTTTGACAGTACAAGGCGTAAAACAATGTGGTATTCAAAATAGCCTTGTTATACAAATACAGAAGCAGCGTGTACCAATCCCATCGCCTTTTTTCTTCCGCCCGTATTTTATTGATCGCGTAGGGGATGTACTGAGTAGAAGCCGGAGCCGGAGCCACCGGAGCCGGAGCCGCCGGAGCCGGATCATTTTACTCGGAGCCGGAGCCGGAGCCGGAGCCGCCTTGACATTTCACCCGGAGCCGGAGCCGGAGCCGGAGCCGATTTTTTTCTCCGGAGCCGGAGCCGGAGCCGGAGCCGTCTGAAATTTCCACGGCTCCGCATCCCTGCAGTTTGTACGGTGTACGTTGCCTTGCATTTGACCTTTTAATCCGCACCGGGACAGGGTGAGGGTGTTTGAACACCTCTTGTGATTTTCGCCGATATATAATAAAATGGCAGCAATCCATGACTTCGTAAAATTTCAGACCCAGATCGCTCAAGATCCGGTCACCAGATCACGTCAAGCTTGAACTTACCTCATTACGAGCGAGCGAGCGCAGCGAGCGAAGCGAAGTCTTTTCAATATAACGGAAAAATCCCAGTATGAGCGGCCCGGCCCGGCCCGGCCCGGCCTGTAACGCTTTTGAGAGGCTTATATCTCAGCAACCGCTAGACCGATTGGCCTGCGGTCTTTTTTGTTGGGTAGCCCCATCCCTTCTACCCCGTAATAAACTACTTTTGATACATCTCAGTGACCGTCGTGGCACGTGCCACGTGAAAAGTCAAGGGTGTTCAAGCTGTTTTGCAAAAGTAGTGATTTTGAGAGGCTCATATCTCAGCAGCCGCTTGGGCGATTGTCTTGCGGTAATTTTTGTAGGGTAGCAGCATCCGTTTTACCAAAAATAGGATACTCTCGATGTATGTGGGTCACCCCCAGTGCACGTGCAAAATACAACAATAAGAGGTGTCAAATTTGTTCCCATTTTAATAACTCGGTAATTACTGGGGCGATTTCGCTGAAACTTGGCATACAGGTAGGCACCCACCAGGCAATGCATTCCCATGTGTTGCGGTTTGGGTGCTACTGCACGTGCGCACGTGCAGGGGGCGTTTCCAGATCTCGAAAACGGCTGGGTCGATTGCGCTCAAATTTGTTACACAGTTGGGGACCGGTTAGTAAGTGCCGTGCAAAAGTCAGTTTGGACCCCGTTTGCACGTGCGCACGTGCAGAATGCCGCATCCAGATCTCAGAAACGGCTGGGCCAATTGCGTTCAAATTTGGCACACCGCTAGCAACCGGTTAGAAGAACGCTTTGCACAAGCCCGTTGGAAGTACCTTTCGCCCTTCCGCACGTGCAGGTCTCACTACGTCGCTCGCTCGTTCTTCGCCCAAAAGGCGTTTTACTGGTAATAAGCAGAGGTACCTAATAAGTTAGAATGCTCGCCATAGCTACACCGATTCAGCAATCGCTTTGAAACTTCAGCGATTGATAAGAGTAACATTATTGATAGATTGTATATTTCAATTTTTATACCTGTGACCTAAGGTCAGTTCAATGTTGTGCCGTCTTCATTATAAGTCAGAGGGAGAATATTGAAGACGCCTGTTTTGGAAGAACGTCATTCTAAACACTGAAACATCGGGTTACAGTTAGAATGATATACCATAGGCGTAGGAACGTTTTCGAAAGTGGGGGGGCCAGGGTCCCAGAGGTCCAAAACCTAACCTACCCCCAAAATCCGATTTCTCCTCGGATTTTGGCCACTTTGTTTTCGCAAACATGCTCAGAGGTAAAAAAAAATCGAGACAAAAAAGAAAAAAATTGGTTGAAATTTCAGGGAGTCTCCCGTCCATAAACTCAAACTGATGGACGCGTTCCCCTGTCCTCCGCAGCCGTTGGCACCCATGCAAATTCCAGAGGCATCCAGCAACTTTTTCATTACGAGCAAGCGTGAAACGTGCAAAGCGAGTCTTTTCAATATACCTATAAAAATCAACATGAACGGCCCAGCTAGGCTCAGCCAGGCCTATAACGTTTTTAAGAGGTTTTATATCAGCGACCACTGCAACTGGGCTGATTGACTATCACTTATTAGAGGCCGGTGTGAGACTTTTAGACGGTCTGGGCCTTCAGAGGCCAGTTTAACCCTCCACGGCCCGGTCCTATAGGTTTTCTACATACGCGCTGGCCGAGGGGGCGGGGGGCGGGTACGACCCCCCTCGCCGTTTCGCCCCAGGTGGAGCTAGCGCGTCGCGGTAAAACGAGCGTGTGCGCCGTTACGGGACGCAGAGATCGATACCCGATTTTATGGTCCTAGGTCAACCGGTGACCTCTGACACCGTTCCGTGCTTCTATCCTCAGGATACTGAAATCCTTCTCCTCCACACCGCAACCCCTCCGGGCTGGACAGGCAACTTTATCTCATGCGGGCTGCTCCCTTGGAGCGGCACCGCTGCTCCCGAGGGAGCGCACCCCGTAGCCGGGTGCAGTGAGTGCCTTGGGGCTGGGTGGCCTGTCCTCTGGACGGGCTCAGCCCCGGCGACTCACTAGGGTGCCTGCCCAGACCAATGTCTCCCCCTATATCCTATCATTCTTCCGGCTCTGAAATGGTCTCATTGGACCGAAAGGGCCTAACCCAACAAAACAAACAAAACCGGTGACCTCTGAGGTCAGGTCAAGTGCCTCAAGGCACGGTTCCGTTTTTGGTGAATAACTTCGCAAAAAATGGCCGCAGAGCCGCGATTTTGCCAGCATCGTGTTCGCCTCTCTCAGGCGCGTCGAATGGTATACTTTTTGTTTGGGTGAGGTAAACTTAGGGTGTTGACCTCGGGTCACGGTCAGGTCGGCGTTCACAGGTCACGAAATTGGTCGAAGGAGGTCATGTCGCATATCATTCGATTCGGCAGGTCTTCTTGAGTCCATAGGTGGCTTTCCCGACTCGCTAGCTCAATTTGATCGGTACCTAGTTATTGACGAAAAACTAATAAGACCCTTATAACTTCATAAATGACGTCGCGCAAGGTCAACATTGCAAAAGTGACGCATCGAACCTTGCAAGGAGTGCATGAAATCACGATTCGGTGTGCTTGAGATAGTTGGAGATCGATCGTTCCCGGCGCCAGAAAAAGTTTTCAGTTTATCCCCATTGACTTAGGTATACCTAATGGTGAGGTCACGAAAATGACCTCACCTCATATGAACTTTAGGAAAAATCCGAGATATACATTATACAAGTTGAGAGACTCCTATTGGATACTAGGTCCTCCAAGGTTCATTTCCCTGTGAAATCTCCTCTGGCAGTGAGGGCGTTGCGAAGTTGCGACATGTGAAGACCGTGCAGAGGTTCACTTATGACCACATGGGTCAGATCTGACCCGAAAATGCGGTTGGTGTCAAAAGATCCCGTTTGATTCAAAGGTCAGGTATGCCAAGCTTCAGCTCTCTATCGCCGGCGTGTTCGGAGCTATCGCGAAAAAAAAAAACCTATGGAGGGGCGGCACCCGCCCCCCCCCCCCCGGCCGGCGAGGGTTAAGGCCCTCAGAGACCAGTACAGGGCCTGCAAAGGGCAGGATGAGACCAGATGCCGACTTGGGCCATCAGAGGCTAAT